TTGAAGATAGCTATATACTCTACAATCGAGTAGATCTTAATTCCGGCCGGACAAGCTTGGTCAAAGACAGTGGTTCTAGGCGATATAACTCAGACCTTGTCCCATTGGTCCCTTCCCAGCCTGGCATGAGAAACGTTCCGTTCCCTTCTCCGCCCGGCGACGTTCATTCCGACTCCATCTCCTTGTACCGAGCTGAGCGACGGAATTTGGTGTGAGAGGTCGGGACACTCTCATAGGCGCTGCTCACTCTCCTGTGCAGGCGGTGATTTTCCTGGTTTTGATCCTCCACTTGTTCCTCCAGCTTTCTATAGCTCTCCGTCAGCTCGAGGTCCCGTAGAATGTTGCTTGGTAGTGTGATGAAGATAACCTTACCGGACTCTGGTTTCGAGACTTGAAGGTACAGATCAGCACCGTTCGAGGGTGAATGGCAGCCGGGATTGGGACATCAATAGGACGGGACATACTCGCAGATCAACGACATGAGAATCTTTCTATTCGCCACGTCAGGTGGACTCTCAGGAGGCCCAATTGTGACCACGCTGTCGACCTCCTGTGCGCCATCTCTCTCACTTTCGTCGTTTTCCTCGGTTAGCATACGCTCGTCCAAGACGGCCTGGGAGTTCGGTCTCCAGTCGTCGGGCGGATCCGATTCCGTCGGGCGTGAGGAATCTGGCCTGATACCTGGATGCGGCTTATTTACTGCCGATGACAGTACTTTTCGGAGCTCGTTCAGTCGTGGCAGGTGGGCTTTCATTGTTCGCTGAGGATATGACTGACGCCGGGAGGAATGGGATTCCTGTGAGATATGTGCATATCGCGAAGGCCGAGAGGCCCCAGCCTAGGACGCACATGGCACTTTATAAAGGTTGGCTGTCTCGTTGACTTAAAATCAAGATGACACCACGCACCAACCCTGCGCGAACCGGTTCACCCAATGCAAGCCCGAAGTTGAAGGTAACGTTGAGGCCATGGTTCTAGGCATGGGCAGACCAGGGACTGACTGTAATCTCGCCGACACTTGTGGCACTTGACGATGACCGACCAGGGACTGGTCAAACTATGTGCAGTCGGGCTATCTTGCCTGCCAGCAACGCAGAGAATCTGGGGCTTGATTCCCTGACCCGAGTTGTCGGATGGTCAAGAGACGGGTGACTTCGTCCATGGAACCGAAACAAATAGATATCATTAGCAAAAAAACAATGAGCCCATAAGACAATACAGGCTATCTTGATACGGCCCTCCAACCTCTTATCGCATGGTACAGATGAACTCGGTATGCTCTTCACACTAGAAGCCGCAAGAGATATTTTCAACAAAACGCTCTGGATCCAGGATTCTTTCGGGATCGATAGTGTTTGACCCTGATAACACCCCTAATCTTCCTGTCTTATTCGGCTCCCGCTCGCCTCTTGGCCAGACGAACATTTGAAATTGATAATCTGCGTGATCGATGGTCCGTATGTACGGACGGAATACTTCCCAGATTTGATTGCGAACCCGTCTGAGGTTGCCGAGGGTGCACTCCACGCGCGGAAGGAAGAATGGCGAGATGGCGACCCATTCGAACGTGTACTTGTGGACGACCGTAAGGTGCATTTCTAACCAATCGACGCAGTAGGACAGCATGGCAGAGGCATAACGAAAGATATCCTCGGGGTGCGTAAGCGGAGATAGGATGCTGGGCCCATTCCAGATCAGAAATTCGGGGTCATCATAACAAGAGGACAGGTAGCAGTCAACGGCCACGGTCTCATATACGCAGGGTAGCCCTTCGTCGCTGCGCTGCAAGTTGATCGTCTCCATGTCAGGCTACTATTCGGCTCCTTCGGGAATGGTGTGTGTATGTGATGGTGAAATTTCACAGACAGCGCGCCTTCTGGATCTGCGCCCCGTAGGGACTCCCAATAAGTAGGTGTAGACTTGGTGGGTTCGAAGTCTGAACAAACGATCTTACATAATTTATATCGCACGTGTAGACAGTTCTCGCATGAAAAGGCCCTGAACTCGGCATCGAGAGAAAATTGAATAGATGGGAGAATTGGCTGTCATCCAGATGCCATTTATAGTGTCTTGAACTGTCGTGCTGGAAGAATCCTCTGATAGCAGTATAAATTTCTTTCCTTGTCCCTCGAGAAACTGGGTTAGGACAGCGGGCCAAGTGCGGTGGAACGTGAGCCAAACTATGCCGATCCCCTGGGGAATCAGCTGGGCAAAATGAAGGGGTATGAAAGACCAGCTGGGAAATTACCGTAAGAAGAGTTTTCTGCCGCGGTTATCTCCAACTACCCATCTACCCATCACGGGCAAATTCCAGCTCGACGACCTGCCGAAAGGATAACTATGATGATGCTAGTAGACGGCACGATATTTGCCAAACTGACCTCAAACCTCTGATCTTGCTCGATACCTTCAAAGGCACAGTCGCCAAGCGATGAACCCTGGGAAATGAGATGGAGCTGCTCTGTGGGAGCGACGTCGTCGGTTCCAGACGGCGCCGTCAACTAATGGGCGGTTCGGCTCATTGCGACAATATGAACTGGCCGTATGGCAGTCTGGTCGGCAATTCGACCCCAGTAGGGCACGCACGAACAGTGACCCGACAGAGCTCCGGTCGGGTGTTCTATGTGCATGCGCCATCGCATGCTCCAAAGCCGCACATCGCAGGCGAACGAATGCTCGTGCAACGTTACACGCAACGGCTTACCAGAGCAGAGCAGTGTCAAGCAGTCAAGCGTGAGGTCTGTGGCAGTCGTCTAATAAGGCAGCAACCCATATCCTGTACCAGTCAACGTAAGAGGTCAGATTGGCCTCTTCATACGGAAATAAGAGGGGCGGAGGCATTGTCTCTGAGGGAACGAAAGTTGGATATGTATGGCGGATGGAAGATGTCAGCTTATAAGGAATTTCATGGGGTCGGCTTCGGGCCACCGGTACAGCTCGATGCTACATATTTTCATTATTGGTGGTCGGCACTTGCTCTCCTCCTGCTCTATTCAGACTATCCACGCTTTCAGTCCGGCCAGGCATAAAAAATTTTGAGGCGCCGCACAAACATCTATAGGAAAATAAATGGCTTCCAGCCAACTCCTCTTAGAAAATAGTAACCTGACACCTTTTATCACGTTATATGACCCTTTGGCTCGTTTATAGTTGCTATATAACGTGCTAACAAATGGTTGAAGATCATCAAATTGATTGCTACTATGCCCTTCTACAGAAGCACCGCTTGAACTCAAACCAGCTGTGTGCAGGCAAACCAGTATTGTTACAGATTCCAGTTCACATTTTATCTCCAGATAATAAGATGCTGAGATAATACAAATACGAAACATTGGATTACCTAGAGACATACATTAGACCAACAGCTAACTTCAATTCTTGACCCTCATCATTTATGCGGACACAACAGGAGACCTGTTTCTATGCCTCTGTGACAAGTATGAGACCATGTAGAAGCTATGGTTCAAGCAACGTTTATTATCCTATTGTCACCTCCGTCTTCTCTTCTTCTCTCCCTTTCGCCAGCCAGATTGTAAAAGTGCTGACAGACCCTCTATGTGCCGGGTAAGCTGTTCATACTCTGCACTTGATTGTTTCCCCTTTCTTCTCAGCAGATTCCGGGCACTGCGAGCTTCCCGAAGGGAAGCAGCCAAATCTGACGCTTCAGTAATGAAGTTGATATACGGTGTTTTGCTGTTTGAGGTCCTAGTCATCCTTGATGGACGTCGTCTTGCGATATCTGTGGGATTGCTGGTTTAGTAAATTGCAGTCAGGACACACGATCGGAATGCCACGCACGCGTACCTTGAGTCAGGCAGCTCACATAGTCCAGCGATGGCCCGATCATTTGCCTGTCACGCAGTGAAAGATCATCTGAAACAAACTCGTAGTGCTGCGAGTCATGTTGGTCCTTCGCCACCATCTTTGCCATTTCGGCCTCTATCCAAGACACGGACGGGGTGGGATTCTCCAGCGGTGTGGGCTCGCTGAAGAGCGTAAGAAAGTCGCTTTCATCGCAGGACGAGCCGTTCACGCACTCCGACATTGCTTCTGTAACCGGCATGGGTATGCCAGCGAAAGTGCCTATAGCGACGAAAGAGCTGGTCTGTGAAGGATGTGCCTTGGCGGTAGCCCGAGCATTATAGGCGGTGTTACCACTAAATAGGGGACAGTGTCAAATATCCGAGGCGAGCCCAAGAAAGATAGGAAATGGTCTCTAGTTCCCATGACAATTCGGAGGGATTACGGGAGCAGAGTCGCTCACCAGAGTAACTCGTTGGCTCCCAGGAGCTTCGGCCGTCTGTCGCGGGAGATCTGCTGCTCTTACAACCCCTTGGCTGCGCCTTGGCGAATGGTCGATCTGAATCAGTCATCTGCGGGAAGGTCGGCGCTATAGCCATAGGCCCAAACATGGTCTCCTACCATCCTGCCTAGGAAGTTATTTTTCAGTATCCATACACTGATTTCTTTCTCATACATGAACGATACAAGACAACCAGATATGGCTATGTACAAGACCCTCGCGTCCGAGGCAATCGCACACGAATGAGAGAGTTATAATGATAGAAAAGGCCGCCGACATCATATCTACTATCTCCAAGCGTGCAGTTCCAGCCAACTACTTTCCTTCGATAGGCCATTCCTCACAAAAAAAACACTATACATCTCATATGGAATAGACAGGGGCAGTGAAGCAGACCGACGATTGGCAGCTTCAATTCCAGGGGCTGCAGGCTGGGAAACCAAGCAAGCAGTGGCAGCTATCTCTGTTTGCCCCGTGGCGACAGGCAAACAAGCCTGGGTGCCTTTGGAGTTATACTCGGCAGAGGTCGTCTGGGAATAGGACGTCCACTGCTCCCATATCAAAACGGCACTGCCCAGTGGCATAAAGCCAGTTGGGCTCAAGGAACAACTCTGGATGAGGTTTCCCTCTTCCGCAGGAACTTCACAAGCGCGATTATTATCCACCGAAGGGGCCCAAGCGGCAGGCTGTGAATTCTGGCCAAGGTTGGAGAACGCCTTTGAACGCAATGTCAACTCCTGAGAATGGCCTTTTGCGGTCCGCGGCTTTCCCCGCTTGCTTGACAGCCATTCGATATCCCGGATGCGCCCTGGCGTGATTTTGTTTCTCCATCTCCGCGAGTGTCTTGTATTTCTCCCGAATGTGAGCAGCTTCCATCTTCCAGCTCTGTCCGCTGAGTCTGGAGATGGTCTGGTGATCATTCCGGCCGAGCCAGTATTTTACTCGATCACTGTACGCCAGCCGGTACAGTATGAATGAGTTAAGTGGGCGTGGGATTCTTTGATGCCGTTGCCGTGCCTCCTGGCGGCGCGTCGCGAGCGGGCGGTGCACCCAGGCGTACATGTCTCTAACCGAGATGTCCTGCATGCCGTCGTTCATTTCACTTAAGGGACATGGTAGACATGGGTTTTAACTCCTTGTTTCTGCATATTTGGCTTGGCCATCCATTATCTGAGCTTCGAAGCAACTCGACTTCCGAAGTCCGGTCTTCCGGCACAGAGTTTCCGGCTTCGTGTGATCTGCGTTATTGCCTTCTTCCGGTATCAGCTTGTCCTCATGCGCTTGGGTGTTGTCATGGATCTACTGAGATTAGCAGAAGGCCAGCAGGTACACCTGGTTTCCAGCTGAGGCGGAGTGGGAACGCTTCTCACCGGCTGTGGAACCAAGTAGTATGGGTCATTGGCCGCAAACTCTAGCACAAGGACAGGCTGATCGAAGCTCTAGGACCATCAGAGTGTGATACTTTGGCAGCTTCTAGTTCAAAAATGGGTGTGCGCGCTTACCACAGCGAGTTTCCCAGAAGCTTGGGGAAGACCATCGGAGATGCACGGGAGCCGCTGGCTGAGTTCCTCACAACCGGTACCAGGCATGAACCACGCCTGGAAGAATGGAGGTGGTGGCTCAGACATCGGGTCTCCTGGTGTGGCTTGGAGAGACGTGGACGCCTCGGTTCCAATTTCGGTTGGCTTAGTTGTGGCGGGAGATGATTCTGACATGCTTCCACAAGGCTAAGCGGGTAGAGCCTTCGTCGAATGGCAGGACGCGATCATTCCAATGCCAGTAACCAAAATCTGAGGCGGTAAACGAGCGCAAGTTGATATTAGGATGGACCGCGATGGCAGTCCCGGGTCCTTTTAAAGGACAGGCATGAATCAGAGGACTTTCACTCTAACTTGACCACTAACGCTATAGCCATGGCTTGCTCGTCCTATATAAATAGTGGATTTCTATCAGGTCATAGCGGGTGGGACTTGACCTACTGTCACCCGGGAATCCCTGCGACCTAGAGACGTACCAGTCACAGCCGAAGCTGTGTGCGGAGTAGAGTTCCGGATTGAAGTTGGTCGTGTTTGTATCGGTATACTCGGCCATAGTTAGAGCGACCTGTGAGTGGACTAACCGCAAGAAATGAGATCGCCATTTGTAAGCAGCCGAATTAGGCAACAAGGTTGTATTGGGCGTCTTCGATGGCCCAACTGAGACATGCCGAACAGCAGCTATAGGACTTGTTAATCTCCAGCATCCACTAATCTGAGCCATCCGCAGCGATTCCCACTCCAAGATACTCTCGCCTAGTTGGAATGCCTTTAAGGGAACTAAGGGGGAATAGGTTCCAGCTTGAACCAAGTGGGCTCCGAAAGCATCCCCCATACTTGAGACCCCGGAATAGCCAGTCCCATCGATAGTCACAGAAAATCACCGTAACCGCATGGGGGCCAGGATCTTCTGGGCACACACTCCTCCCTCCAGTGTGATTTGATCCAGATAATCAAGGTTTGATAGATCGTCCCGGGAGATTGGTAACCAATTATCGATAAGCATTTCCCAGCCTTTAGAGACCCAGACGCGTTTCCTGTCAGGGCTTATTGTGTATAGAAGACGATGTAGAAGACCACAACGAGCAGTTAGTACAGGGAAGCTTGGGGCAAGAATTACCCATTCGCAAGGGCAAACACTATGGAACAAGCAACAGGAGCGACCCCGAACATGAGTACGCCGGGCGATCGCGAAGTGATCTCTCGAAGGCCGCCGGAGCCTTGCCGCCCCAAAAAAACACGCGTGTTGGGACTACGGCGCGATGATTTGGAATTCGCTACCATAGCACTGGGACAGCATCGAATGCCGACGCGTCGCCATGCGATCGCAATCGGGCGAAAGCTATCGTGCGCCCTAGACTTATGCCAATTGCAGTAGACTAAACTTAAATAAATGAACCCGGGAGTCTAGATCTCCTTGAGTTGTCGCTGGAGAAGTCCTTGAATGGTGTCACAGGCTGCTTTGCCATCGCGATGTACGACACTCTTCTTTGTGGAAGGATCGTCCGTACGTGATCGAAGATGGCCAATGATCGTCTCCATAAAAGTGCTCGCCATCTGGTGCCTCAATAGCCTTCTCGCTAGAGGCAGGACTTTGGCTACCTTGACGGCGTGGCCAGTCACGTTCCGTAAGACTTCCACCTGAAAGCTCTTTGCCTCGCGTTGAAAGCTACCCGGGTTGTGCTATTTTGGCTAGAACGGCTGTGGTCCGCTCCCACGGCCGCTCAGGGCTGACCTTTGCTGGAATGAAAAGGGACATCGGCCTGTCGATCTTGGTAGTACGCTATAACCCGGTCCGGACAAGGGCGTAGAAGGATCAGGTTACATTTGTCGCAGACAAGTGTGAGCGCTACATTGGCCTGGAACTGTGGGGAGGGTAGAGCTGGCTAAAGACTGCGTCCTTCTGTGAGACGTGAGAAACTTAGCGTCTCTGATGCCATGATCGTTCGGGTTCGTTGGAGGTCATCCGCCGCCTCCGTCGTGAAAGGACCCCAGCTGTGGTGGGTAAAGCGGAGAGCTAGCCCTACCCAAAGAATGGCCTTTATCCATTTCTCGATGAGTAGAAAGCTTCTTACGCAATTTTTCGACGCCATAGCCTGCACGGGACGTGGGCACATTGGTGTTCCACGAAGACAATCATAAAGGCACCGCGTAGGCTCATGAATGCGCTAGCAATTGAGGATAGCTCTCTGATCTCTACACAGAAAGGCTATTTTGTAATAGGCCTGACCTACCCATAAACTGTTCGACTCGGATACAGAGATACAGGTTGTGGTAGGTAAATTGATCCGATTAGACAGCATTATGACCATGCTTCTGAATCCACGCTTCTGAACGCGACTCCTGCCTGGTCAGTGTAAAATAGTCTACTGAACTGAATCAAATGAGATATATACTGATTCTAGCTGTCGAGATCCCAAGATGTCAAATGTATGTATAATAAATGGATACATTGTGGCGTGTGCGCAAGCCCTCTCGGATATCGTGCGTAGAAGAGGGAAATACCGCAAGGCGGATAGCTGCCCATGGTCTACTAATCGACACCGCTGGGTATGATGGCGCCAATCATAGTTCCTAATCTCACAGGGCCCACAAGACGCCGAGAAGGACAACGGCAGGCGGCGAAAACCAGTTGGATTCTAAGCCATAACCCACTAGGCTAGGTGCGGATTCGCTGTCCGTCCCGCATGTCGGCTCATTTTTCCGTTACTGCTTTGAACTGCCATGATATGGTAGTATCGGCCCACGGGGAGGCATCAGCCCCATCTAGACATATATGCGCCAAGGGCAAAGGCTTGAAAAGGCATGCAAGCTACCAGTGGTGTCATACATATCGTACGAATGCTACTATCTCAACCTATCTAACAGTATCCATACCACACGTCCATCAAACCCTCCTTCTCCTCCGTCTTCTAACAATAGTCTTCCGCCCCGAACCCTGTTGAACAAGGTCCGGAAAATCGCGGCCGCAGAGGATGACTTGATGCGAAGGACACGTCCGTCGACGTCGAGGCTCAGATGCTGAGTCTTAATATACCGAGAACCCGCTCAGCGCAGTTTGCACGAGTCCCGGGTAAGTTTTAGTTCCTGATCCTGATCCTGTTTCTCTTCACAAGGCTGAATTTGAACACCCGCACCTGCGGATGCAGATGTCTTGAAGTTGTAGACGTCGCGGAGACAATCCATCACAATTGCAAATGACAGTTAGCACCAGATACGAGCCCGCTCCGCGGCGCGACTCCTTCGATGAGCGCGCCGATCCTGCTGAAAATAAAATAAAATTATTAATTATATGGCGATCGGTTGCCCCCACGTTCCTCGTTGATCTGCAGCTGCTCCCTCGAAACTCTGCTTCATGATATCTTTCTTTCCGCCGCCAGTAGCAGAATTGGACCATGATGTCGGACATTTTACGGGCCACTGCGGCTGAAAGCAGCCCCTATACCAAGAGGAAGTCCTTCTCCGTGGCCACCTTTCGCCGCGCCCGAATGGCAAAAAGTCGAGTCAACAGAGGGATTTGGAGAGGTGTGCAGCGATGACATTTCCGGATGCAACGTCTCTGCACTGCTGCGCAAGCAAGTAATCTATTTCACCGTCACAGTCCAAGCTGTCAACTTTGTTCTCATAGCGCTCCGCTGGGAGCCTCTTTCCATACCAAACTTTTGCCAGTCGGCGGGTTCCGGCTGCGTCTTATCCAACAATCAGAGCGTCCCCTGCGCGGCTGAAAGCCGGCTCGGGAGATGACTCACGAGGCGGATTTGCTAGCCAGTCAATGACGATACGAGAGTTTAGAGTTATATGGGGTTCTGCTGTTTTTTTTTTTTTTTTTTTTTTTTTTTTTTTTTTTTTTTTTTTTTTTTTTTTTTTTTTTTTTTTTTTTTTTTTTGGCGATCTAGAGAAAGCCAGACCTCCCGCTCCCGAACGCGCGAGCGACGAGCATCAATATCCTCAACGACAGTGGTCTCCTTGGGAAAAACGAAGACAACCAATCACACCATAGATGTCGCTATGGAAGACGATGATCTCAAAAAGCAATTCCATGCGGAGGCTGTCGTCTGAAGGCTCTGGTCCGGTTCCCGATACTTTCTAACACTTGAAGCCGGTCAGAAACCATCTCCACATTCAAGAAAATCGGGCTAAATTACTTGTATCTCACACCGCGCATTAGTCCCAGTTTCATTTCCACAATGACTAACAATTCCCTGTTCACTCGCGGGAGGCTGTTGAACCAGCATACGGCGCCAACTTGCGTCTTCTCGCATGTATACTTCAGTCTTGGTAGGGTCTTTGACCATGTTGAGGGTATCGAAGATGAGTTTGGATTCTGTGTCTGGGGGAAGACGGTACTATTCCGTTGGAAACCCCCTGGGAAGGCTTCTGCAAGTACGGGGTGGAGAACTCCCTCCTTGGAATCGCAACTGCGGCGCTTGACTGGTTGTAGAAATTATGCTTTTGAATGGGGCGTGATTCACAAATCAGGAAATCCCAAAAACGATTGACGCGGGGTGCTGATGTAAGAGGTGTGCGCATATCCAGTTCTAGGAGGCTTCTTTCTAGGATGCTGTGAACGGATAGGACGGCTTGAATATTGTTGCTAGATGCCATACAGATAATCGTTATAGGCCAAGGGTGGCTGGGATTACATTGGAAGGATATGTCTATTTAACATATCAGAGGTTTGGACCACACGCGTGGCATAATGCTATGGTATCCGTCGTTAAGCAAGAGCTACTGCCATGTAGCATTCTGAGCCGTGGTTTCCCGATCTTTCGCCTTTTATACGTATAGAGCCCAATGCGCGGACCAGGTATTCCCGGATCAGAGTAATGCAGAGTTTCATGGTGGGTGGTGCTTAGTTATGAGCTCAGTCCGGCACCTACAGGGCTCAAGAGATAGCTTTGGATCTTCTCGCTTCGCAGGATTACAATAGTTGATCAACCTTGATGACAAGTGCCGCGGACAGTAAAAGGGATAACCTTCATAGGTGATGAAGAGTAAACAAAAAAAGCCCGAGCTTTGCAGACAACTCGGCCGCTAAAACTAACGATAGTATCTTGGGCACTTTAAGCTTTGCTTTGCCAGTTATAATATTCACACATTATCTAACAGTACCAAAACAAATTCTATTATCAGTAAAAGACAGTAGAAACGATTGAACTTCTGTGGCAAGATATGTACAAAGTCTACCCAGTACGGGGTCTACTTTATTAGCTTATACTGCGCCCTAATGGGCGCGCTGTCCCGGCAATTCAGGATAATTATCAGTCTGGTCAGACCCCTGCATCTCCTTAGGCGGCAGCTGCTGTGGCTGGCGCATTGCAGGCCAAGCAGGCATAGTGCCCGGCATAGCAGAAAGCATTGCAGGGGTTTTGTTTGCTCGGGCTTTGAGCCATACAAGTGCGGCCAATGCAGCTAGCACTGGCACGCCGATCCCAATTCCCACACCCAAGGCTGTCTGTCCCGTTGTCGTTAATTGAGCCGCGTCGCTAGATGCTGACATGGTGGGTTGTGCATCTGTACTTGGTGTAATGCTGGGGGAGGGAGTTGTATCGAGGCTCTTGGTGGAAGTGTCCGATTCCGTCGAACTTGATGTGGTACTTGTAGCGGTCGGTTTCGTGATGTTGAAATATGACGATACAAATCCGTCTGGGTCATCAGAGTTGATCCACATGAAAAAGACGTTGGAGTAGTTCAAATCAAAGCCGTATAGTTGGACAACCCAGGTGAAATTAGTGACTTGGTCGGTGGAGTGGATTTTAGCTGGATGAAGGGCGTTAGTTTTTGTTGTAATTCAAAGGAAGCTTGATTATTATTATTCAGAGGGAAACATGAGGCTATATATACAACGAGAAGATCAACTTGATTTCTAATCAAGTTGATTCTTCGTATACATACTTCGGGAATAATTCCGATGGTTCGGCTTGGTTCCTGATCTGCACCAGCCTCATATTACAACACTTGTTGTGGCTACGGCGCGATTCGACCGCCGGAGTCGGCTGTTCCGGCACGGAGGCTCTGACTTCGTCTGGTCCGCGTCGGCGCCCTTTGCCGGGATCGGCGAGTTCGCGTGGGCTTGGGTTCTATCACGGATGTAAAGATGTCAGTGTTCACCCAATTGGTACGCCGCGTTTTCCAGCTGAGGCGGAGTGAGAAAGGATTTCACCGGCCGTGGCACCACAGAGTATGGGTTATTGGCCGCAAACTCTGGCATAGGGACAGGCTGATTGAAGCCCTAAGACTACCAGAGCATAGGACGAAGCAGTTCCTGGTTCAAGGTCTGCCGT